GCCGTCCAGCGTCAGAGAGGAGCACGCCGGGCGCACTAGCCCGGGGTGGGTCCAGAGCTTGAAACTTGGTTTCCCCTGAGTGCGCATCACTTCCTCACCGTGAGGCTCGGACCAGAGCGCCTGAGGCATCAGCCTTTTCCATAAAAGGTGCCGGTCCTGGTCGCGCTCTCCCGAGTCAGGCTCCGTCTTCCTTGTAACAGCCGGGTCTCGGTGTGGGGTCGGTGGTGCAGCTTTCTGGTCTGCAGCTTCCCCTGTGGTTGGGCATTCCCCTGGGCCACTTGCTGTGGGGTGCGCGTGGAGGGCGTGTCCCGGGGTGCTCGTGTGCTCCCAGCAGTTACTTCTCTCCCAAGCAGTTTTTTTTAAAATATATTTGATTGATTTTTTACAGAGAAGAAGGGAGGGACAGAGAGTCAGAAGCATCGGTGAGAGAGAAACATCGATCAGCTGCCTCCTGCACAACCCCCACTGGGGATGTGCCCGCAACCAAGGCACATGCCCTTGACCGGAACCGAACCTGGGACCCTTCAGCCCGCAGGCCGACACTATCCGCGGAGCCAAAGCGGCGAGGGCTCTCCCATGCAGATTTTGGTTTGGACCATCGTCGTCTGGTCACCCAGCTTGTGGTCAAATTCAGGTGATTCTGTTGAGTGAAGTCATGAACTTTGAGGACCACGGGCTTGGTCAACACGCTGCAAAGCAGTGTCTTTACATCCCGACCAGGACCATGGCTGTGCCCCTCAGCTCAGCCGGCCGCCTCGGCGCGCGGTTAAATGGGACGGCCCGCAGCTGCCTGATGTTCGCAGCAGAGTGAGGCTCACATGGCGCCGCCAGCAAAGGCGCACCTTCTGCCTGCAGACCAGTGTGGAGTGGGATAGGCTTTTTAAAAAAATACTTATTTTTGTTGGTTTCAGACAGAAGGGAGAGAGTGAAACATTGAGAGAGAATCGCGGATCCGCTGCCTCCTGCACGTCCCCCACTGGGGATCAAGCCCATAACCTGGGCACGTGCCCTGACCAGGAATCGAACCGTGACCTCCTGGGTCATGAGTTGACGCTCAACCACTGCGCCACGCCGCCCGGGCCTGGAGTGAGGTGGGTGTGTGGCTCCGGCGCCACTGCGGACCGGTCCCTGGGGTAGCAGAACCGCCTTCCTCTTGCAGGTGGACAATGCGTACTGGCTGTGGACCTTCCAGGGCCGCCTCCTACAGAAGAACAACAAGGACCGCTTCTGCCAGCTGCTGTGGAGGCCCCGGCCCCCCACGCTCCTGAGCCAGGACCAGATCAAGGTCTGCTCTCCAGTGGGTTGCAGCGGGCGAGGGGGGCCCTGGGAAGGGATGCCCGAGCAGGAACTGCCGAGGCAGAGAGCAGTTGAGGGCAGTCACCGGAGCTTCAGGAGCCGCAGGCCCGTCAGCACCCCTCCAGGACCCCTCCAGGACATGGGCGTGAACTGGGAAGGGCCTGCGCCCACGTCCCCACGGGGCTCACGTCGCATGGGGAGCTCTGCAGTGGGTTAGGGTGTGAGGATGAGGCTGAGGGACGGAGCCTGGGAAGGGAGGACGGGCCCGCTGCTGCGAGACCCGAGAGCCAATGTCCAGCCATGCGGAGTGCCTGGAGGCGGTGCCCGTCGGCCGCTGGGTGTCATTCTGTGTAAGTCCTAAGGGACCCGTCTTTGTTTCAGCAAATTAGAAAAGACCTGAAGAAATACTCCAAGATCTTCGAACAGAAGGATCGTCTGAGCCAGTCCAAAGCCTCGAAGGTCAGTGTGGTCGTTGGACTGGGAAAGGCCACAGATGGCCACCGTCTTTCATGGCAGAGCGGGGCCAGTGTCTGGCTTGGGTTGGGGGGTCCCCTGGGCAGTCACTTCTCCATGGAAGGTGCTCCCTGTGCCGCCTGCAGGTCGGGGCAGGGCCCAGGCCTGTGACCCTCTTGGCAACTGGCTTTCAGAGACAGAAGTTGTGGGGTGGGGCAGTCGGGAGGAGAGAGGGAAGGAGCACCCCACCACTCCTGTCCTGGCAGGCCCTTTAAGGGAAGTGTCCCTGTGTCGTCTGGCGGCGGCTGCTGACACTGCCCTTCTGGTGCAGCAGGGTCGGGAGGGTGCTGGGTGCAGTGCCCGCTCTAACCCCGCCCCCCGGCCCCACCCCTAGGAACTGGTGGAGAGGCGGCGCACCATGATGGAGGACTTCCGGAAGTACCGGAAAATGGCCCAGGAGCTGTATATGGAGCAGAAAAACGAGCGCCTGGAATTACGAGGAGGTAACTGTGTGGGATCTGCTTCTAGAGCTGGTGTTTGTTCAGCCGTTCTCTCTTGGCGTCTGTGCTCCCTCACGGGCTTCTCGGCACACCTGTGTGTCACGTTCTCGTCAGCCAAGGTCAGGTCTGAGCTGCCTTCCCGCCCGCCGTTGCTCCCTGAGGCTGCGGCTGGCGCCGCCCGCCCCTCTGTCACCCTTCTGTCCCTCCTCTAGGCGTGGACACTGACGAGCTGGACAGCAACGTGGATGACTGGGAGGAGGAGACCATCGAGTTCTTTGTCACGGAGGAGATCATCCCCCTGGGGAGTCAGGAGTGACCGACCGCACTGTGGTAAGACCCTTAGCAGCTCTTCCCGCTGGCCCGCAGGTTAGCCAGTGTCTCGTACAGGGAAGCCCATTTCACCTGTGAGGTCCGTGCTGTGTGCTGTGACATTGAGATGCAGCCCGGGCGTCAGGGCTGGAGCTCCAGGGCGGGGCTGGCCAGTGGGGGGAAGGGCCTCCAGTGCCAGTCCCTGGTGGGGCTGGGATGAGAGCCCTCGGAGCCCTGTGGGGTGTGGCAGGGACTCGGGTGCTGCCATGACGATTGGCCTAGAGGCCTTGCAGCTGGGAGCTGTGGGTCAGGGGAGGGACTTGGGGTCCAGGCAGTGCTGCCCCAGACTGGGGAGTGACTGGTCATCCTTGGACGGCTCCACCGGCGACACTGCTGCTCATAGCTGGTGCCAGGCTGAGGGCTGGGGCTGCCCCCTGGGGCTGGGCGGCTGGGACTGCCCGTGCTGCCCCTGACGTGGGCCTGTGTGTACAGGACAGAGGGTCAGCTGTGTCCCCTCGTTGCAGCACCACCTCGTGCCGGAGCCAGGCGTCCCTGTGCTTCCCGCTCTGACGCGCCCCGGGAGCCGTCTCCAGAGCCGTGCCTTCACCCTGGTGCCCAGCGGGCGCCCCAAGGCACTGCTTCCAGCCATCCCTGCGGTTCCCGAGTCACCGTGTGCTTGTCACCGAGACTCCCGTGGGAGCCGCCGCTGGCCTCCTGCTGCACCACCAGGCGACGACCCCCTCGGCCTCCTGTGGGGACTCTGCCCGGGGCCCGGACAGCAGCTGGGAGCAGTGCACCCGGTGTCCCTGTGCGGGGGCACCCAACGCCTGGTCTCGCGTCCAGGCTGTGGCAGGTTCTCAATGGAAATAAAAGCAAACCTGTACGAACAAGTTGTCTTTGTCGTTAAACGTAGGTAGCGACCGTGATCTGGTGCCTCTCCCTGCCCTGTGGGGCTTGGCCCCTCGGTCACGGGCTCGCGTGCAGGCGTGGCGGGCTGGAGTGCACCCTGTGGTGGGGTCCTGCTGTGCCGCTGAGCTGGGTTGTAACAGTGTCTCCGGGTTCTCCATGCCTGTCGTTCCCGGACGTGAAGGGCCTTCCACCCTCCCCGGAGGCCTGTAGAGCTGTCGCTTTAGCTGCTCTTCTGTGGTCCTCGGATGACGTGACCTTTCCCCACTGGAGGGGAGTGAGCAGAGCCGTGTGGTTTCTGCCCGTTGTGTGGGCTGGCCTGCTGCCCAGCGTGGCCCGTCCGACCACAGGTGCTTGTGTCTGTTCTCAGAGCCTTAAGTCTCCGTGCGCGCGTCCTCGCTGCAGTGCGTCGCCCGTTTCTCCTGGTCTTCAGCGGTGCCGCCTTCCTGCCTTCCTGCTGGAGCGGGAAAAGGCCCAGCTCCATTAACAGATTCCAGCGCTTTCGAAGGACTGACTTCATGCCTTTAAACTCACTAGTTGTAATTGTTGTACATGATTTTTCAATAAAGACGTTCTGAAACACTGCTGATTCCTCTACTGCAGACATGGTTTCCCAGCCGGCCCTGTGGGTGGCCCAGAACCTGGACACCTGGGCTCCAGCAGGGTCCTGACGGGTCAGGCTGGCGCTTCACGGCTGGGGACAGGGATCCTGGAGCCCAACGTGGACCTGGAGGCCAAGAAGGGAACAGGGGTGTGCCCAACACCACTGCCCGAGACCACCCAAGTGCCACGTCTGGTCTGCCAGGCCCGAGGCTGGAGCGCGTGGTGCCCTTGAGCAGTCGACCCGAGGCCCACCCCTGGAGTGGCCTCTGCGGCCCCAAGGCCCTGTGGTTGGGATTTCTGACCTGAACACGGTCTAGGTCTCTGGTTCCTAGCAAGTGCAGGAGTGACTGACGGTTCACACCAGCGCGGGCTGCCTGTGGCCAGGGACCTGCGAGTCTGCCACACGGTCAGGGCCTGACCTGCAGGCAGCGGCGCCCCTGGAGGGGCCGTGGGAGAGGAGCAGGCGGTAGTGCGGTCAGGCCGCAGCCGGACAGGTGAGCCACGGGCAGCAGCCATGTCCTCGTCCGCCAGCCCGAGGGCTGCAGGTGCTTTAGAAGCTCCTCGGGGAGAAGCGCTCAGCTGGAAACACTGCACTGCGTGTCGGCTGGGGGTGTCCATCCCCCTTTCCACGGGAAGCCGCAAGCCCACGCGGGGCAGGGCTCAGGCAGGCGCACCTGGGGAGCAGGTGCGGTGGGGCAGAGGAGCCTGGGTTGCCATGGTGTCAGATGAGCGCACAGTCAAAGGCTGGCGCTGTAATCATGTATCTGGCGGGCAGCCAGCCTGTACCCACCGGGCCTGGGCCACCTGGCTGCTTGGGGCCCACCCGCAGCACGTGGGCAGCCCAGCATCCCTGAGGGGCCCCTGGGGCACTGATGTCACCAGGGAGGGGCAGGTGACGCACCGCAGGTCTGCACAGCCCGGACAGCAGGGAGCAGGGAGAAGTAACCGCCGGCTCTGTGCCCTCTCACCCACCGCAGGTCTGTGCAGCTGGACAGCGGGGAGCAGGGAGCAGGCTGTGTGCCCGCCTCTCCCCAGCCCAGGTAGCCCTGCCACGAGGGACATGGAACCCAAGGACCAGCAGCTCACGGTGAGTGTCCCTTGTGTGGCCTGACCGCCGTGGGGCTGTGTCCCCGAGGCTGCCTCCCGCTCCTGGCTGTCTGTTGACCTCCGTCCCTGCGTCTAGCCGTGCAGGCCCGCCCACCTCCCTCCTGGGGACTGCCCTCCTGGGGCGCAGCGACCCTTCTCCAGATACCCCTTTCCCCCCTGCCTCTGCCTCTCCCTCCCCGGGGACTCAGTGCCTGGACCAGGACCCCCAAACGGGATGGGGTAGGCCCCCCACCTGGCCCCGTCCAGGCCCTGTGAGGCCTGACGAGACCCACCTGCTGGGTCACTGGAACCTTGGCCCATTTGCCCGTGGGGTGAGATGGGCCAGGGACCTGCCCCACACCTGTAGGCCGGTTACAGAGCGACCCACCATGACTGCCCCAGGGAGGAGCCCAGCTTCTGTGTCTCCCAGGAGGATGGTCCCGTCTTGCAGAAGAGAAAGCAGGGGTGGGGTGGGGGCACGGCTCTCACGGGATGGAGGAGGATTTGGGGCCCCGGTCTGCGATTCCACAGGGCTCCCTCGTGCTCCCTTAGAGGGGCGGGGTGTGCAGAGCGATGGGCCATGGAGCCCTTGCACCTTCTGCGAGCAGAGGGCCAGGTGAGGGCCGGACCACGAGTGGCCGTGGGACTGGGCGAGTGCTTCCGTCTTCCTGTCCGAAACAGCCGGCCGCTGCAGTCCCTGCTCCTCTGAGCGCCCTGTGGGTGCGAACAGCTCGTGCTCCTGAGTGGGAAGTTATGCCTGGTCCGGCTGGTGGCTCGGGTTGAGCGTCGAACTAGGAACCAGGAGGTCACAGTTCTATTCCCAATCAGGGCACATGCCTGAGTTGCAGGCTCGATCCCCAATAGGGGGCTGGTAGGGGGCTGCAGATCAATGATTCTCTCATCATTGATGTTTCTCTCTCCCCCTCTCCCTTCCTCTCTGGAATCAATAAAAGTATGTTTTTAAAAAGTTATGCCTGGAGGGGCTTGGGGTTCGCTCGCTGGTCTTACCTGCTCCCCTAGGAGTGGGAAGCCCTGGTGGGGGCGGCAAGGAAGGGCCGAGAGGGTGACCAGGCCTCGGATGCAGCTGCACAGTGTCCCGCCCACAGGTAGCGCTTCGGATCCGCCCGCTCAGTGACACAGAACAGGAGGAGGGAGCCAGCGTCATCGCCCACAAAGTGGGTGACCAGGTGAGGCTGAGGGCCACAGAGGGTGTCCACAGGCATGAGGCTCACCCTCCCGGGCGTGCCACTTCCGCTGGGACAGTCGCTCATTCACACTCATTCGGTGATTCATGCCCATCTGTACACTGGTTACTCGTCCATGAACTGTTCATCCACTCACCCATCCACTCGCTCACCCATCCACTTGCTCACCCATCCGCTCGCTCACCCACCCATTTGCTCACTCACCCATTCGCTCGCTCACCCATTCACTCACCCCTTCACTCGCTCACCCATTCACTCACTCGTTCGCTCACTGAAGAAATGTCTAGCCCGGCCGGTGTGGCTCAGTGGTTGAGTGTCGACCTATGAACCAGGAGGTCATGGTTTGATTGCCGGTCAGGGCACATGCCCAGGTTGTGGGCTCAATTCCCAGTGTGGAATGTGCAGGAGGCAGCCAATCCGTGATTCTCTCTCATCTTGATGTTTCTATCTCTCCCTCTCCCTTCCTCTCAAAAGAAGAAAAAAAAAGAAATGTCCATGTCATGCTCACCAGGGACGTCGAGGCGGAGCCATGGGGGCAACAAAGACCCACCGCCAGCTCCCCTTCGTGTGGGGGTCAAACTGGGAATAGATGAGTGTGTGATGTCAGCTCAGAGCCGTGGGGGTCGATGGGGGTCACTAAAGACCCGGGGAGCCTGGGGGCTCAGTGGTGTGTGGGAGAGGGCGGGCAGGCCCCCCCCACCCTCCGCCGGAGCCAGTCTCATTGGCTGAGCACTGTCCTAGGCCTGGGACAAGGATGGGGACCTCACCTGCTGTGTGGCCAGGGTTCCTGCTCCCCGGACTCGGGCTGGAGTCGGGCGCTCATGGCGCAGGAGAGCAGGTGGTCACTTGCAGAAGGAACGCCACAGTTGAGGGGAAGCTTGTCAAGTGACCAGATTGGCCGTTTGTTGTTAGAAAGGTGGCTTCCTTGTTTATTTATTTACTTTAAATATATTCTTATTGATGTCATAGAGGAAAGGAGAGGGAGATAGAAGCATCAATGATGAGAGAGAATCATGGATCAGCTGCCTACTGCACACCCCACACTGGGATCAATACCCCAACCCCAGCATGTGCCCTGACTGGGAATCAAACTGTGATCTCCTGGTTCAGAGGTCGACCCTCAGCCACTGAGCCACGCCAATCAGGCTGAGAATTCACGATTTTAAAGTGAAGAGTTCAGTGGCATTTAGCACATTCACACTGTGTGTACCCACTTCCGTCTAGTTCCAAAGCATTTTCACCCCAAAAGGAGACGCACATGCCCTAAGCCAGTGATGGCGAACCTTTTGAGCTCGGCGTGTCAGCATTTTGAAAAACCCTAACTTAACTCTGGTGCCGTGTCACATATAGAAATTTTTTGATATTTGCAACCATAGTAAAACAAAGACTTATATTTTTGATATTTATTTTATATATTTAAATGCCATTTAACAAAGAAAAATCAACCAAAAAAATGAGTTCGCGTGTCACCTCTGACACTCATGTCATAGGTTCACCATCACTGTCCTAAGCAGTGCCCCCGTCCCTGTCCCAGCCCCAGTGCCCGGGCCCCTGTCTCTGGATTTGCCGGAGTGGACGACTCACCCAGTGGAATCACACGGGGAGGGGGGGTGGGGGGGAAGGGGGCCGTTTGCGGCTGGTTTCCCGCACTGAGCATGTTTCTGAGGTTCGTCCATGTTATAGCATTTTCTTTTACCTTTTATTTTATTTTTAAATTTGACGTGAGAGCAGAACATCTACTTGTTCACTTATGCACGCATGCCCTGACCAGGGATCGAACCTGCAACCTTGGCCTATTGGGATGATGCTCTAAGTAACCGAGCGACCTGGCCCAGCTTAGCTTTTTGTTCTGAAGTGACGTCAGGCTACTCGAAGGCCTTCGGGGCCCCTGGAGGGCCTGCAGAGGGTCCAGGTCCTCTGAGCCCAGGGTCCCAGGCAGCAATGTCCTTCGTTTTCACGTCCCTCTCGCTCCCTGATCACAGACTCCCTTTAGGGGACATTTCAGAGTGAACGGGCCGGATGCCCCTCCACACCAGTGTTTCGTGTGGAGTCCTTACCCGCAGGCCCACTCCCCAGGCTGGGCTGGAGCCCCGCAGGGACCAGGCCAGGGCCCCCTCCAGCGCAGGCCCGGCCCAGCCAGCAGGTGCAGTGGGAGTGGCCCGGGTCCTCCCGCCTTAGACCAGCGACTTCAACTGGTGCCGCAGGGATTTATAAAACAGGCAACACCCGACACTTTAGTCAGGGCACTGCACTCTTTTCCCCTCCAGTGGTTCTCAACCTTCTGGCCCTTTATTTATTTATTTATTTTTTAAATATATTTTATTGATTTTTTACAGAGAGGAAGGGAGCGAGATAGAGAGTTAGAAACATCGATGAGAGAGAGACATCGATCAGCCGCCTCTTGCACATCTCCTACTGGGGATGTGCCCGCAACCCAGGTACATGCCCCTGACCGGAATCGAACCTGGGACCTTTCAGTCCGCAGGCCGACGCTCTATCCACTGAGCCAAACCGGTTTCGGCTCCTTCTGGCCCTTTAAATACAGTTCCTCATGTTGTGACCCAACCATAAAATTATTTTCGTGGCTACTTCATAACTGTAATGTTGCTATTGGTAGGAATCGTCATGTAAATATCTGATATGCAGGATGGTCTTAGGGACTCCTGTGAAAGGGTCGTTCGACCGCCAAAGGGGTCGCGACCCACAGGTTGAGAACCACTGCCTTAGGCTTTCAAATAAAAAGTGACAGCGGCCAGCACAAGTATAGCCGCCGGTGTGAATGCCCTGTCCTGAACCATGAATGTATAGGTCACATAGTAGAGTTGCATCTTATTGGTTATGTTGCATAATAAGGTTGGTTAACTCTTTTTTTTAAGTTATTATTATTATTTTTTTTTATTGATTTTTCACAGAGAGGAAGGGAGAAGGATAGAGAGTTAGAAACATCGATGAGAGAGAAACATCGATCAGCTGCCTCCTGCACACCCCCTACTGGGGATGTGCCCGCAACCAAGGTACATGCCCCTGACCGGAATTGAACATGGGACCCTTCGGTCCACAGGCTGACGCTCTATTCACTGAGCCAAACCAGTCAGGGCGATTGGTTAACTCTTGGTACCAGAAATCCTTATAGACGAGTATGGGCACCTGTTTTTTGTTGTTTTCTTTCTCTTTTTTTAACCCTCATTCAAGGATATTTTTCCATTGACTTATAGAGAGAGTGGAAGAGAGAGAGAAAGATAGAGCAAAATACTGATGTAAGAGAAACACATCGATTGGTTGCCTCCCGCATTCGCTCTGACAAGGGCCCAGGCCAGGGAGGAGCTGGCAACCCAACCAAGTTAGGTGCCATTGACTAGAATCAAGCCCAGGCCCCTTTGGTCTGCACGCCGATGCTCTATCCACTGAGCCACACCAGCTAGGGGTTGGCACCTGGTTTTTTAAAAAGTCACTTTGGAGCAAAAAGGGTAGGTAATTATTATTATTTGTAAATTGATCGAAATTACACCTATTTTTTTATTAGATCGGCAAAAAATTAGTATATTTTTTGGTGTGCGCAGGATTTGAGTAATTAGCTTATGTGCTGAGATGACAAAGATCGAAGATCGCTGCCTTGGACCCTCACTAGAAGGAGAGAGAGTTGGCTTATATCCTGGGAGAAGTGCTGGCCGAAGCCAGGCTCCCGGGGCTGCTCTGCCTGTTCCCCCTGTCCCCCCGACCCCCTGAACCTCTGGACAGCCCTCCCCTCCGGGACCTGTTTCCAAAGCCAAGCACCAAGGGCCAGGGCAGGGAGGTGGGCGGCCACGTGGCCCGTGTGTCCCTAACACTGTGGCTCCTCCCCAGCGCCCTCCAGCTCGGAGTAAACAGAGCTGACTGGTCTCTAATTGCCCTGCCCCCCAACCCTTGGGAAAGGTGCCTCTGAACCTCCCATGGCCCCCAGATGTCCTCACACCCTCCCCCATAATTACGCTTTCATGTGCGATAGGACAGGGCCAGGAGGGGCGGCCGGGCCTCAGAGAAACAAGAGCTGCAGAGCTCAGGTGGGTCCTTCCCCAGGTACCTGTGCACCCCCCGCCTCCATCCTCCCCTTCGCTGGGGTAGCTCAGCCCCCGGCAAGAAGAGGGAGGCCCGGGGGAGTGAACGTGCTGGGGTCACGCAGGGGAACGCAGGAGCCAGACGCTGGCTCAACACCTTACAGTTCATGAAGCCCTCCCATCCTGCGGAGCCTGCCCACCTGGTTCCCTGGGCGCCCCCAGCCCCACTGACGCTCCGCCCCTGCTTCTAGATGGTGGTGCTCATGGACCCGGGCGAGGACCCCGAGGACACGCTGCGCGCACACCGGTCCCGGGAGAAGACCTTCATCTTTGACACCGTCTTCGACCAGCACGCATCGCAGGTACCTTCTGCCCACTGCCCCTTAGTCCCTCTGGACCAGGCTGTCCTGACTGTCCTCACCAAGCCCTGTCGTCCCCTGGGGAGGACTGTGTGGCCACATGGTCTCATCCATCGCTCATCACAGGGGTTTCCCTGATGATCAAGGTTACCCACCCATCCATCCACCTACCCACCCACCCATCCATTCATCACCCATCTATCCATCCACCACCCATCCATCCATCCATTCATCCACCCATCCATCTATCCATCCACCACCCATTCATCCATCCATCTACCATCCATCCATCTGTTCATCCATCCATCCATCCATCCACCATCCATCCATTCACCCATCCATCCATCCATTTACCTATCCATCCATCCACCCATCCATCTACCCATTCATGCATCCATCCATCCACTCATCCATCCACATATCCATATCCATCCACCCACAAATCCATCCATCATTCCATCCCTCCATGCATCCCCCATTTTCCCATCCATCCATCTATCCATTGTCTATTCATCTGTCCATTCATTCACTTATCCATCTGTCCACCCATCCATCTAGCACAGTGGTGTCTGGCTGCCATGTGTCCAGAACACACTCCCTGCACAGGGCTCCTGTCCCAGGAGGGGCGGCACAGTGAGCGATAGAAACAAACCCACTGGTACTGGTGCAGTGGTGGCAGCGAGTGGAGGCCTTTTCGGAGGGACTTTCAGCTGAGACCGGAAGAAGGAGCCCCCTGTGAGAGCAGAGGCGGGCAGGGTCCAGGCTGAGGCTTCGAGTCCTCAGTCCACAGAGGAGCCTGAGGCCAGGTCAGGTCGTCCTCACCAGCACCTCACCTGGCCCTTGCCGTGAGAGGGGCTTTGTCACCAACACCAGAGGGGGCCCCGGGCTCAGAGCGGTGTGACAGAGTGAAGGACACTCACACCCGAGCCCTGCAGAGCGGATCTGAACCCCGGCCTCCTGAGGTGGGAACGTCCCCCCAGCAGGCGATGAAGTTGGGATGCTGGGCCCAGCCCTGCACCCAGGGGACCTTCCATCTGCACCACCTTCACCTTCCAGGACCCAGCCCTACCCCACCCCCCGCCCTTCTCCACTGCAGCTGCCAGTCCCCATCAGTCTTGGGCGGCTTTAGTCATAATGGGGAGGGACTTCAGGCACCCGAAGGCCCGACCGTGCCTGCGTCCCCATGGCCCACCCGCGGGGCTGTCAGGACTGGTGCTGCGGGCGTCCGTGGGGGCTGTCACCTGCAGCAGCCACCTGTGGCCTCCTCACACATGGCAGCCCTGAGCTCCAAGGGGGTGAGGGAGGAGCTGCCAGGCGTCAAAAAGGCTCGCCACCCCGGGCATGGCATCTCTCTGCCCGCTTCCCTGGCCCAGACTTGGGGAGAGGGGATTAGATGCACATTTGGGGGGCAGGGAATTTCCAGCCATCTCAGTCCACCTCTTTCCTTCCTGCCGCCTGTCCCACTGGGTCCCTGGAGGAGTCCTTTCTTGAATGCCCCTATGGACAGGGAGCTCACTGCCACACACTCCCATCACTGTACTGTCGCCGCACCTTCAGTTCTGCCGGTGGAGACTTCCACTCCCTGGTCCCAGTTTTGTCCCATAAAGAGGGTCACACGCCCCTCCCAGACGCCGAGCGCTGTGGCTGCCCCAGCCCTTTGTGTTCCCCCTGATTCCTCCGAGTTTTCTCAGAAGCCCTGGAAAGGACTCACAGGAGCGTGGTGTGACGGGGGCCAGGCTCAGGGTGGAGTGTCGCCTCCGCAGCCTCCCTGCGGGGTCCGCCTTGTCCACACTGTGAGGCCTCAGGTGGGGCAGTTACGTGCATCCAGGGTGGAGCCCAGCCATGCCCACGCCCACTGTGCCTGGACTGCCCTCCCCTGTGGGGCCCTGTCCAGGTCCCCACGGCATGGACATCGCAGGCTGCCTCCAGCTGCTGTCTCCTTCTGTCTGTCCGCAGGGGGACGTGTATCGTGCCACCACCCAGCGCCTGGTGGACGGCGTCGTCTCCGGATACAACGCCACGGTGTTCGCCTATGGCCCCTCAGGTACGGGGCGTGTCTGGAGGGGGGGGCTGGTGGTGCAGGCTCCCTAGCAGCCCAAGCACCTGCCGGGTGCGGGCGCCGCGCTGGCCTCTGGGCCCCGGCTCCTGGCACAGCAGCCTCGACAGGCAGGGGAGGTCCCTCTCACAGACGGGCATGGAGCCTCAGAGAGGGACAGTGGCTTTCCCAGCACGCAGCCTTCTCCCCGTGGTTCTGTGCCACGGTCAGTGCGGTCAGGCCTAGCCCCTCCTGTGCAGATGGGGAAACTGAGGCCCTGAGCAGGGCCTGGCCACAGCCACAGCCGCAGCCACAGCTTGGCTATCCCTCTTCCGTTCAACAAAGGTCACCAGCACCTACTGTGTGCCAGGCACCAGCGAAGGGGAAGAGCAGCTTGGTCCTAGCCTGTCAGTGGGCGGGGGAGGGGCAGGGGCCCCAAGAAGAGACTCCTTAAAAAGTGTGATGCGGTCATTCGGTTACAACGTGGCTCAGACACCTTGGAGAGGAGAGAGACAGACCCCTGTCCCTCCGCCCGCACCACCTCCTTCACCCCGGGTTCCTCTGCAGGCAGCCGGGACCAATGGATGGATGAATGGGTGGATGGATGGATAGATGGATGAGGGTGTTGTGGGTTTAAAAAATATATTTTTATTGATGTCAGAGAGGAAGGGAGAGGGAGAGAGAGACAGAAACATCAATGATGAGAGAGAACCATGGACCGGCTGCCTCCTGCACGCCCCCCACTGGGGACCGAGCCCACAAACCTGACAGGGCATCAAACTGTGACCTCCTGGTTCATAGGTCAACGCTCAAAACCTGAGCCCCGCTGGCCGGGTCGGACTGACGGTTTTACCCTTGTGACCGGAATAGGAAGCGAGACGTCAGCAGCGGGAGGGTTTGCGCGATCGAGGTGGCGTGGGCAGTCTCCGGGCAGGCGCCCGGCGGGGTCTGCGCCCACTCAGGGCCGGTGGGGGTGGTGCCTGCAGGGGCCGGGAAGACCCACACGATGCTGGGCATGGACGCAGAGCCTGGCATCTACCTGCAGACCCTCGCCGACCTCTTCCGGGCCATCGAGCGGACCCGGGGCAGCGTGGACTCCAGCGTGTCCATGTCTTACCTGGAGGTGAGCTGCTACCTGCCTCAGGCGCCTGACCTGCCAGGCGGGCGCGTTACCCCGAATGCCCTTTGCAAACCTCCGTCTCCGAGCAGCAGGTTCTGGTGGACGCGGAGCCAGCAACGCGAGCCCTGCCCTCTGCTTCTCTGGCCGCTCTGTCTCGCCCAGATCTACAACGAGGTGATCCGCGATCTGCTGAATCCATCCTCGGGGCTCCTGGAGCTGAGGGAGGACGCCAGGGGCAGCATCCAGATCGCGGGCATCACGGAGGTCTCCACCTCAAATGCCCAGGAGGTGAGGGCCAGGTGCCACACTCCCTTCTCCTCAGCTTCGCAGCAGAGCCAGGCACACAGCCCAGCGTTGCTCCTCAGCTCAGGGCTGGGCAGCATCTGCACCTCCCCGCCCTCCTGGCCTGCGCTCCCCGCAGACTCCCCCATACGCCCTGGCTCAGCCCCCACCTCTGCAGGTCCCCCCCTCCCCGCTCAGACGCCCCTCTTCAGCACCCCCCCCTTAGTGGTTGCAGTTACGCAGGCGGCCTCAGTGACCCTGGGTGCCCTCCCCACCCTGAGGTGGCTCCTTAGCGAGGGCGAGTGTGGGCATTGCTGCAGCCCTGCCCCTGCTCTCTGCCCCCAGGCTCCCCAGTGCCACCCTCGCAGCACTGCCCTCGGGGTGGGCTCCCACCGCCCAGGAACCTTCCAGGGCTCAGCCCGCACCATGGCCGTGCTCCAGCCCTGTGGGCTCGGGCGGGGAGAGGTCGGCGAGGGTCTGCAGGTAGATGCCGGGCTTCTTGCCTATTCGGCCGCAAGCTCTGCGCCGTCTCCTTCACCCCTGCTCGCAGTCCTAGCATGTGTGCGCATAGTAGGTGCTGAGCAGGGCCTCCTGGGCGTGGTTTCCACAGCTGCTTGCTCGCAGGAGGGTTTGCCCACCTGCCACCCCATCGGGGCCTGAGATCTGAATTGAGAAGGGTTCTGGCTGCCCCGGCTCTGTGGGAAGAGATGGGTAATCTACTGGTGATGTCTGCCACAGGCAGAAGATGGCGAGGGGCCGCGCGTGCCCCAGCCACCTGCCATTTCTCCGTGAATCAGTCACTTCACCCACAAACCAGAAACCGCTTCCCCTTGACGAGGTGCTGCATCAGCACCCCAGCACAAGGTGCCCCAGGAGCTCAGGGCACCCCTTCCCTTGCCCGGTGGATCTGGAGGGAGCACAGGGCCCCTCGGGCCCTAACCGCCGCCCTCCACGTGGACTCCGTCCTCAGATCATGCAGCTCCTCACCAGAGGCAACCGGCAGCGCACGCAGGAGCCCACGGCCGCCAACAGGACGTCCTCGCGCTCCCACGCGGTGCT